CGAGCCCCTGCGACGCGCAGCCTGGGGTGCATGTCGGAGTCGGGTTGGGCGTCGCCGTCGGCTCCGTCGTCGGCGCTGAGTCGCAGTCGAAGCCGGGTCAGGCGTCGCAGTCGGCTCCGACGTCGGCGCCGGCGTCGCAGTCGGAGTCGGATAAGGCGTCGCCGTCGGCTCCGTCGACGGCGCAGGCGTCGCAGTCGGAGCCGGATCAGGCAGTCGGCTTTGTCGTTGGCGCTGGCGTCGCCGTCGGAGTCGGATCAGTCGCAGAACCACACCTGCCACGCTGCCCGCGCAGTACTCTGGCGACGTGCGCTGGCCGCACGAGTCACCGCAGCCGTCGTCTCCGCACACGAGCCCCTGCGACACGCAGACTGAGCATGTCGGAGACGGACACGGCGTCGCCGTCGGCTCCGTCGTCGGCGCTGGCGTCACAGTCGAAGCCCGATCAGGCGTCGCAGACGGCTCCGTCGTTGACGTTGGCGTCGCAGGAGGGGGGAGAAGGCGTCGCCGTCGGCGCCGTCGTCGGCGTTGGCGTCGCAGTCGGGGCAGGCTCAGGCAATCTATGTTGTGCTGACCCGCTGGGGTGGTCGACGCTGTCAGGCCACAGGTCACGAGGTCCTCTCACAACGCAGGGGGCGTAGCCAAGAGCCGCAGGGACTTGTGAATGACTATGGGGGGTGCATCCTGGTGCCGCTGGGCACAGGCGCTGTGCCCTGGGCATCTACGCATGCCCCGAACCAAGGCGGACGCACTTCCTCGACCATATCACACTTCGCATGGGGGCGCAGCCAAAAGCCGCAGATACTTGTGAATGAAGGGCGGGAGGAGGAGGAGGAGGAGGAGGAGGAGGAGGAGGAGGAGGAGGGGGGAGCGCCGCCAAACCCCTCTGCGCGGGGGGTGTGCCCCGTTGCCAGACCCGCAGAGGTCGGTGCGATCTTGGCGAACCGGAGGGGGGCGCAGCCACGAACCGCCATCTTCAGGCAATCTATCGTTGCCAACATCATGCCACGGCACCACACTCTGCATGGGGGTCACGATGTCCCTGCGTAGGACGGGTGCGTACGTGGCAGAGGTGGGCAGACTGCTGTCAGAAGCCTGCCCAAAGTTATTGTGATGCCCTGCTGGGTTTAGGGTTTAGGGTTTAGGGTCGACTTCGTCCGCGCCCAGATCACAGAGTCCTCTTCACAACGCGGGGGGCGCAGCCAAGAGCCGCAGAGACTTGTGAATGAACGTGGGGGTGCATCCAAATGCCGTTGGGCACCGGTGCTGCGCTCTGGGCAACCTCGCATGGCCCGGACCAAGGCGGCAGCACTTCAACGGAGACGACACACTTCACGGGGGGGTGCAGCCAAAGCCGCAGATACTTGTGAATGCAGGGCGGGAGGAGGAGACTGGTGGGGATACGCGAAGCGTTAAGAATACCAGTATTCTTTTGCTTGCCTATTGCGACCGCTCCGGGGGAGGCCTGTCAATTCGTCATCCTCACAGCGTGTTTCCTCCGACCTACTCGGGATGTGTGTATCTTCCGCTTCGGGGACGCCTGTCAATTCGTCACCCTCACAGCGTGCTTCCTCCGATGGAGAAGCACGGCACGTCCGACAACAGCCCGTCAGAACCAAGAGGGAGGATGTATGAGACACCCAATCGCGCTGATGAGTACGGTGTACAACTCGTAGTCAACAGAGAAGGTGGATCTCAGAGTAGAAAGCCAAACTGTCCACGGTATAGCCACACGCGCAGCACGCAGACAGAGGAGAAAATAACTGAGGCCGACGGTATAGCCACACACGCAGCACGTAGACAACAGCCAAGATAAGAAGTACAAGTTCTGAGCGAGACAGAAGTCGAGACACATACCATGGTAGCAACTCGCAGGGATGCCACGCGGGGGTAGCAGGGCTACTGTGGGGAGACGGCCCACCACTGTCTTCTGTGCTTCCTGGGGGCCTATTTGCTCGGGTGGCCCTTTACCGCATGGTGACCACAGCTCACACCGCCACTCGGACCCAGGTGCAGCTGCCGCGGCCAAGTCCAGTCGACGTCGAGGCCCAGCGCTTCGCTGAGGACCTCACCGATACGGTCTGAGCTGGAGTGTGGCAGCGCTGGACGTGCCACCTGGGGGTGAGCACCTGGTTGTACGGGTGGCCCTTCGCCGCTGTTGCTGCTGCTGCAGCTGTCGGGCGACCTCCTGCTGGAGCGATAGAGGCTCGGTCCTGCCCTGCCGCTGTGGCTGCTGCCGCAGAACTGCTGCTGCGGCTGATGCTGCTGCAGCTGCTGTGGCCCTGCTGCTGCGGCTGCCGCTGCTGCTGTTGTGGCTGCGGCTGCAGCTGCCGCCGCGGGGGGTCGGCGAGGGCCGCGGCGGCGGCCGCAGCAGCTGCAGCGCCAGCGGCCGCGCCGCCGGCGGCCGTGGGGACGGCCGCGGCGGCGCAGGCCGCGGCGGCGCCCACGGCGCGAGCGTGCCGGCGCGCCCAGGGCGGCCACGGCGGCAGCGCCAGCGGCGCAGGAGGCGCCAGCGGCGGCCGCGGCGGCCGCGGCGCCGGCGGCAACCGCGGCGCCGCCGGCGCCAGCGGCTCCAGCGGCGCCCGCGGCGCCAGCGGCGGCCGCGGCGCCGGCGCCCGCGGCACCAGCGGCGCCCGCGGAGTCGGCAGCGGCCGCGGCGCCCGCGGGCGCCGGGGCGGCGGCGCCAGCGGCGCGCACGGCGCCCGCGGCGCTGGCGGCACCGAGGGGCGAGCCGCGGGGCGGGCCGCGGGGCAGGGCCGTGGGGCAGGCGGTGGGGCTGCCCGCGGCGCCGTGCAGCGGGCCGCGAGGCTGGCCGTGGGGCAGGCCGCGTGGCAAGCCGCGGGGCTGCGGGGGGGCCGTGGGGCGGGCCGCGTGCTGGCCGCGGGGCGGGAGCGGCCGCGGTGCCCGCGGCGCCGGCGGCGCCCGCGGCGCTCGCGGCGCCAGCGGCGCTTGCGACGCCAGCGGCGCCAGCGGCACCCGCAGCGGCCGCGGCGCCGGCGGCGCCCGCGGCGCCCGGGGCGCCCGCGCGGCCGGCGCCGCGGGCGCCAGCGGCGCCGGCAGCGCCCACGGGGTCCGCGGCGCCAGCCGCGCCCGAGGCGCAGGCGGCGCCCGCGGCACCAGCAGCATCCGCTGCGCCGGCGGCGCAGGCGGCGCAGGCGGCCGCTGCACGCCGCCGCCGCCGCCGCGTCATGGCGGCCACCATGCCACGGGCCGGGGCGCGCACCTGAGCCAGGGGCGTGCTCGAGCCGAGGCGGCTTGAGCCAGGCTTGAGCCAGGCTTGAGCCAAGGGGGCTACGGTAACTGGTGGGCTTACGCGAAGCGGCTAGAATAGAAACAATTCAGCGCACCGGGAAGGGATTGGAGGGAGGTGCAGAATGTCAGATATGGCGCGAGCGAACCTATCTTGTCCTCCCCCTCTTCCTTCCCCCCCTCCCTCCCCCTCCTGCTCATCCTCCTCAAGATGGCGCTGCTGGCGCGTCCAGGTCGAAGCCTCGGCGGCCTCGCCTCCTCCTCCTCCTCCTCCTCCTCCTCTTCCTCCTTCTCGTCCACTTCCTCCTCCTCCTCATCTTCATCCTCGCGCATCGCTCTGTTCTCTTCTTTTCTCAACCTCCTCCTCCCCCCTCCTTACCCCTCATCCTCATACCCTCCTCCCTCTTCCCCCTCCTGCCACTTCTCCACATCTTCATTCCACTTGTCCCCCCTCCTCCTACTCCTCCTCCTGCTCCTGTTCCTCCTCCTCCTCCTCCTTCTCCTCATCCCTTCTCCTCCTCTTCCTCCTCCTCCTCTTCTTCCTTCCTACGGTGGTGAAGTTTTGCTTAGCGTTTCGAGGCGGCGGCCCTGGCGAAACGCTGTGCCCTGCGAGCGGGTCGCGGGTCGCTCCGCTCCACGGGGCGAGGGACTGGGAAAATCTCGGGACGTGGACGCCTGGGGACCAGAACGTGGTGGTGGGCCGGAACGGGCGGAGCGACACGCTGATCAAAACTTCCCGACCGTATCCTCGTTCTCTGCATCCTCGACCTCGTCCTCCTGCTCCTCCGTCCCTTATTCTCCCAACGAACGACTCATCTCTGTGGCACCCCTAGGCGTACCGGTCGGGCGGGCCAGGCGACTCGCCTCAGACTTCCTCACAGCGTATGATCCTGAAGCTTGAACTTCGCCGCAGCTTCAAGGATGGAGGGCGTGCCGTTTTCAAGATAATTCGAGCTCTCGCCCGAGCGCCGCGCATCGCCGACAGATGGAAGATAGGCCTCCACTAACAACTCCGCACGCTCTTGGGTGGGGTGGGCCATCGGGCCCCTATCGGCGATGAAACGGCGAGATCGGGGGTCGATGCACCCCCCCTGTACTGCCGGTTGCCCCTGAACAGAGCTCTGACCACGGAGAGACATCAATGCACCGCCGGTTTGCCTCGGTGGCCAAAGCAGAGAAGCAGGGCCATGAGACCAGTTCCCAGACTTAGGTCGGGCATGTTCTCCTACAGGCGGATTTGGGGAGAAAAGCAAACATAGTCCAAATGTCAGCCAAAAATAACCAGAGAAGCGCGAAAAGTCGTCCCCATACTATGTTTGCACCATTCTTGAACATTCCTCCTGTAGAGGGACATGCCCGATTTGAGCCCAGACCTCCGACATCGCACTTGTCTCACTTCGTGGACCCCCCAAAAGGTCTCGACCCTTCCCCGGGAGCGGTGTCTCATCCCGCATAGCTGCTTGACGGTCCCGGGGCCCAACGAGGGGCCCCAAGGCCCGAAACTAGCAGAACCCCTCCCGTCGCTGTTTTTCGGAACGCGAGGGGGCCTGGGTGACAATAACGAGACATGCCGGAGCATGGAGACGGGCGATAAGTTCAGTGACTGGGGAATCCAAAAGATACCGACACCGCAACTTCCCGGACCCGCCTCCCAGGGTGCGTTCTGACCAAGATTTTCGAAGCGAATCCCGCGGTGGCAAGAGGGCCCCCCTGGGAGGACCAAAAGGCGGTATCGATGCCTTTCCCCCCCAAACGTGGTAAAGACGAGACATGCACTTCCGTTTGCCCAGCCCGCGCCTGCGAAAGAAGCAGGTGTCTAGGCTCACCAGCGCAGGGGCGGCGAGCGGCTGTAAGGCGTAGCCCCGCGGAGGAGAGCAAGGAGGGGAGGGAAACACAAATTCGGCCCTGGGCGTCAGGAGAGAGAGAGAGAGAGAGGACACGATAAAGAGACAAAGACAGGTAGAAAAAGAGAAACAGGGAATGAGAGAGAGAGAAGGAGAGAAAAATATATATAGAGAGAGAGAGAGAGAAACAAACAAGGGGAACAGAGGAACACATCTGTATGCATGTAAATGTTTACATGTATATCTATGCAGAGGGAGAGAGAGAGTGAGAAACAAAAAAGAGGGGGAGAGAGAGAAAGTGAGGGAGAGAGACAGAGAAAGAGAAAGAGATAGAGAGAGAGAGAGAAAGACAGAGAAATACAGAGGGAACTGGGTCGAAGGCAGTTAAGAATATGGGCAGAGAACAAACAAAACATACATAATCCTCCACAGGTCTGTGCGGATTTCCTTTCTTGACGCTGCACCGCGCTCACCACACCCGTGCGCGTGCCAGCACAGGCAAGGGGTGTGCCGAAGAGGGTCTGGCATCGGCCAAAGAGCTCCGCGGGGAACTCTGACAACTCATGCTTACTTCGTCGAGTTACAGCGAACATGTATGATGAGACATCTTGGTGTAAGTTATGTTGGGGACACATTATTCGTCGATATTTCAAGGCCCTGAGGTCCCCCAGAGCTTCTGTGGGTACCTGGGGCCATCGGGGGAAAGAAAATATCGTGGGGCACATGCTGGCAGGCCGATGCTTCCTTTGAGGTGCCTACTGTAGTTCTCTGATCGAGTCGTGGACGGGCGCTGGGCAACCACGTGTGAACCGTACCCCTGAAGGTCCGACCTCTGAGACACCGGCGGGGGCTCACAACTTGAAGGACGTCTGCAATCAAGTGGTGCACCCCGTCCGAAATTTACTCGGGTCGGGCGAAAGGGGGGGATAGCAAAGGGGGGGTTTGAGAATCAGCTCACGTAGCTGATTTTCCCGGCGCCTCCCGGCGCCGGGAGCGGCCATGTATCGAGGAATGGGCCCCTCGGCGAGGCCGAAACCAGCTGCATGCAGCAAATTTCGTAACCCCCCCTTTCCCAATCCCCCCCTTTCGCCCGACCCGATTTACCCCAGCACCGACTGGACCCGCAGAGGTAGGGTTCGCGCGTGGTCGCAGGGGGGCATGGAGGCAGACCTGGAGTCTCAGCAGTTACACTTCTTGGCCTTGGAGCGCTTGTGGTCGCCCGCGCTGAGCTGTATGTTGGCGCCCCGGGCGTCCTCTGCTCCCGGGGCGCCGGCGTCGCCCTTGGCCACGGGCGCCGGGAAGGCGGCCGCCATCTGCTTGAAGAGTGCCTCGACGTTGGTGCCGTCCTGCGGCGACTGGGCGCCCGAGGCCGATCCCACAGAGGGCCCCCCAGACTGGGACGCACATGGACATACTAATACTATATGTCCTCCTTGGAGGCGCGCGTCCGACCCGAACATATAGTATACCCATCTTGTAGTATATCGTTTCCCGAGCGGTGTGGCCAGGAAGCGCCCGCCACGACGCATATACTATAAGATTTCTCGGTGCGCGCGTCGCCCCTGGGGGGGCGACGCACATGTAGTATAGGTATGTTTGGGTGTTGCCGACAGACCCCCACCCTTCCCGCGCTGTGAAAAAGCGGAACAGATGATTTCTGCCAATCTCCGACTCCGGAGGCCCTCGCTGGGGCCTGGGACCGTCGAACAGCGTCTCGGGGCTCGTAGGGGATGGACCACGGAATTGATTTACCTCAAGATTGATCTCGTCCGCCGAATCTACAACACATACATAAACACCTCCTCAGATCTGAGGATATCTGTGTATACATGTTTCATAGATTCGACGGACAGATCGAATTTGGGGTAAATCAATTCTGTAGTCGATCCCCTACTCGAAAAATGAAAAGCCAGTCCCGGGAAATGTGTCGAGACCTCTAGAGGTCGACGTGGCGAAAAAATCCTGACGTCGGAGGTCTGGGGAGGCGGGGGGCACATCCTGACCGGGCTGGGCACGGGCTGGGGGCAAGGCTTCGCGTAGGGGTCGACTACATAACTCATTTACCCCAGAACTCCTTCCCACGTCGAATCTACAACAAACTGCGTACAGCGTTCGTAGATCTGCTAACGTTCTAAGCAATTTCCATGGACTCGATGAGAAAAACATGTTTGGGGGAAGTCAGTTCTGTAGTCGATCCCCTACTCGATGGACTGGGCTAGCCGTAACTGCGGCCTGCCCTGGGCTGAGCTGGTTCGGACTGCCATGAGGTCCGACGTAACGGAAAAGATTGCAACACGGAGAACAAAGCACGATGGACAAGAAGACAAACGACACCACCCCACCTACGGCCCCAGGTGGCTTGGCGTATACCCAGAAATCTGGCGTGGGCTCTTGCGTGGTATGCGCTGCG